AAAAAAAAAAAAAAAAAAAAAAAAACAATGGTTATAATGCAATTGATATTTATGGATTAGTATAGTCTCATACCTTTGGTGTAATGGCAGAGATATCAGGGCTCCTGGTCCTATTTGCATGAGTAGTTTTTGGGGTTGATATCATTTGTCCTTTTCTCTCCACTTCCATCTCATGCATAATACGTAAGGATTCCCTTTCAATCTCCAGTGCCTCTGCAGCAACATCATCATCAATTTCTTCATCATCTTCAAGAGTTTTATTTATCTTTGTTTTTGTTTTAATACCATGGGGACCTACTCTGTAAGATGAAAGAGGAAATATCATTACAGAAAATGATTAAAAAATAATATTTTTGAAAAACTACATAGGATCCTTACATTTTAATTCAAAATTGCAAAAATACAAGCTTAAATAAACATGACAAACAAATGATGAAAAATCATATGTTCAGCTTATTTTTATTTTTTTGTTTTTTTTTTCATTTTACAAAACTGAGTTTTTTGTTTTGTTTTTTTGTAGTAAGTTGTGCTTTCGTTGTTTTGCTCTCAATTAACAGTTAAACAGAAACCATTGTGACACCACTGAAGACAATACAAGGACAGATTGACAGATGAGAGAGGAAAGAGAGAGAGAGAGGGAGGGAGGGGGAGAAGTAGTTTGAATCAGTTATAACTGCTCTTTAAGACATAACCAATAAATCATTTTACATCAAAAATCCTAAATTCAATCTTCAAAAGCAATCACCCTAGGTGAACAGTATGTGGCACAAATGATATGATAAAGCAATTACGAACAATGGCATGTTCCAGTTAAACATAAGTACACCCAATTTAATATATCACAACAGTCTTACTCATTCTTGGCAATATAATAGGCGTTTTATATACACAACATACACAAGAAAAAATCCACAATTGAAAAACATTAAAAGGCTCCTTTATTCCACATTTCATACAAATTGCAACTCTTAGATGTTTACATTTATCATGCATATATTGAATATTGACAATATATATTCAGACAAGACAAGTTACTGTAGATGTAACAACATCAATTGAAGACAGAACATGAAATAAACATTTTAACAGACATGCAAGTATGTAGCACAATCCATACAAAAATACATACAATTGACACAATGATAACAATGTTGCAATTAAGCAACCAGAAATCACAGACTAAAAGTCAATTTTTACAAGGAAAAGAGCTGTGCATATACCTAACTGATAAAATTGTGCTGTTTACACAAGTTGATTTCTACAATTATCTACCAGTGTGGCCATGCAGCCACTAACCTGTCATCTTCTGGCCAACATTGATTACTGGAATCTGATCCATTCTTGTCTGCAGATTTGCTCTTCACCATTTCCCAACCACAGGTGTTGGCATCAACTGCTTTTATATCTTCAGCATAGTTATAACTGCTGTTCCCTGAGGGTATCTTTTGTTTTGTGGCATCAAAAGCACTTCCCGGGTAATCATTAGGTTGCAGAGAGCTAATTCCCAGTAATTCCTGCCACTTTGCAGAGTCACTTGTATTTTGTTGGTTGTTTGAATTCCTTGGAGCATCCCAACAAGGAGCCCCTGATGCCGCAAGTGCCATGCAGCATGCAACATTTTCATAACACCGTTTGTTTTCGTCTGACATTTTGGAGGTTCCACCCACAAAATCAGAAATTGTACTGCAATCTTCACCACTGACATCTTCATTTCTATCAAATTCTTCATGTGGTGAACTACTAATTGGTCTAAATATAGAAGTGTTATCCTTAGAAACTGTTTCTGTACAAGCACTGTTAATCTTCAAGAGATCATAAAGTGATGAAATATCCTCGCCTGAGGCACCCATTCCATGACTCCCTTTCTCTTCCAGCTCCTTGTAATTAGAAAAGAAACTGTCCAGCTCAGAAAAGTAATCATCCCTACTCCAGGTGCAACATGGCTCAGTACCTTCTTCTTCTTTACATCCACAACTGTTTTTATCTGGTAGCTCATAGCTATCATTTATCACCTTGCTTTCCACAATGTCATGACCATGGTCATATATCTCTTGTATAGGAATCAGAGTTGGATTAAAGTTTGATGCTGAAGAGCTTGTTTTGCTTGCAATTATATGCTGTGCACCACTTCCACTGGCATCCACTTCTTGAGGACATTTTGCCAGTAAATGTGTGGTAGATTCAGATACTGAGGAGTTGCTGTCTCTGGACATTCTTAAAAGTATATTGAAACTATCTACTTCTTCCACTGAGTGTGGCTGAGGGAGAGAAACACTGGTATCACTTAGGGGCATGGAGTCAATATGACTGGTCAAATCATTAAGTGTTTCTTCAACACTGCTGTCAATATCATTTCTCTCACTGTTGTCAATCTGCTGCCTCGATAAGCTTGCAACTATGCCATCACCAACATTTTGGGTAGTTTCTTCATCTAGATGAACGCTATTACTTGGCACATTGTTTGTATCTGCTTTCATGTATTCTCCTGCACTGCGGACTGCATCAGAGGCCTGAGCATTTCTCTCTACCATGGGGATATAATCTGATTCTTGCAATGATATACTACCTTCTTGTGAGATTTCCATAAGTCGTCTCACTGTGGCAGTCACTGTGTGGCTTGAGTAGTCTCGTGATATATCCCTCAAAAGCTGCTGTTTACTCTGGTCAGTCATTGGCAATGAGGCAAAAGTCTGGAACAGGTCAGTGGGTATTGAGGCAGAGAGATCATCTAGCTCTGAAGAGTGATTATTCTCATTACTCCCTAGATGCATCTGTAGCTGTCTCCTAGTCTCAGAATTGACAGCTATAATCATCCTAAGAAAGTCTTTGTCATACTGGGTGTTTGATGTATGTCCAGGTTCTTCAAGAGCTTCTGATATTTGAGCTTCATTACTGTACTCAAAACACATCTGGCGCAGAATGCTTCCTCTCCTTGATCTCGTTGTGGAATGGTTGGTGGCAGATTTATCTTCGAAATCTGTGCAGCAAGTACTATTTGTTCCTACATCAGACATATACCCTGACATACTTCTCTGACACTCATCGTCTGAAACACTGACATGTTCAGAATCCTTGTCACTTTCTTCCTCATTAAAAACTTGATCATATGCTTCCAACCAACTTGCCACATTTTCTTTTGCTAGAGCACTTTTATCAATTAAAGAAGTACATGGATTATTGTCTGGTTCTTCTATGGTAGAAATGTGTTTATTTCTGCAATGATTCTGGGTCCCATCTTCCAAAGAGGTCATGTGAACAGCTGATTCTTGAGTTTCATCTTCTGGATTCATTTGGATGGAAACGCCTGGTCTGTCTTCAGAAAATGCTGACACAACTGACTCTTGTATTTCTTCTTCTGTCTTGACATTTTCTGCATTATTCAATAGACCTTTTACCCTTGATATTGTCAACTCTGATCTTCTGATGAGGTCTTCAATCTCTTTTGTACGTGGAATAGTTCTGGTAACCCTCTCTCTTTGAATTTTGCTATTTTTTTTACTCAGCCTGTTGATTGTTGTGTGCATCAACTCACTGTTTGAACTCGGGACAAAATATGCATTAGTTTTTTGGGGACTAAGACTGTCACTTTCCTCAAACTGGCAATTTTCTTTGGATATGCTCTCTGTTTGTGTAGAACATGACACATGTCTCATACTCAAAACAGCGGTTACAGGGCAAGCTGTTTTTTGTGTAACATCCTCCAATTTGTCTTCTACTTCATCAATGGCATTGACTGAAAAGTGCTGTTTTAGTGACCCATTTTCTGCTTCCAAACCTTTTTCTATACTCATTTGAGCAGCAATATTCTTTTTGACTATGTGTTCATTCATGCTGTCATCAACCTGGGTTGACTTGTCACATACCAGACAGAACATGCTGATGGTGGTCCCTCCATGATAAAGAGGGGACAAGGTACCATCACTTGCTTGCACACTTACAGCATTTTCAGATGTGCCAGGAAAATAAAAGCTATGGTGCCAGCTTCCTATCTTTGAATTGGGGCTCTGCTGATGGAAAAATGAGAGAGGGGAAAGCCTTTCCTTGGAGGTTTGTGTTTTACAGTTGGTAAAGTCTGACAGGTAGGGCTGTTCAGATGTGCCATTTTTACGGCTCTTTCTAGGAGACTGATTGACAGAATTGTTTATATTTGGGCTGTGCTTCTCGAGATTATCATCTTCGATAAACATAACATCACTGCTGGAGGAGCTTTTTTCTGAGTTACCATTGCCTTCATGTCTATTATCCAATTCCACTTCTATGACAGTAACAGGCGAGAAGCCCATTGGTGAATATGAAGAGAGAGAAGATGGAGATGGGCTTGGGGTTAATGTTGATGGATGCACCTCAAGAAGATGAATATGTTTGGCCTGGGCTGTGTCTGATGCAGTTCCATCATTTTCACCAAAACAAGAGCTAGTAGAAAATGGTAAACCATGCATTTGAGGAGATCTAGGAGGAACTATTATGGCAGGAACAGGTGGCTGATTCCCCATGGTCATAGGTTCTGAATTTTCTGACGAGAATTCTGAACTTGGTCCACTGCTGACTGAAGTACAGCTACTAGCACTTTTTACTGCAACTGTCGAATTAAATGTCACATCACTGAAGTTGAATGCAGCATTCCTATTGATGTGTTGTATTTCATAGTCATTGTCAGAGGATTCATCATAAGTAAGCCTGCTTTTGCTGCTGCAGAAGCTCATAGACTCTGATACTTCACTCGCATCAGTAGACCACTGAGATGAATTCCGGCCACTTTTTCCATACTCCTGATCCACATCAGATTTACTCAAAGATGAGGGGTCTCCATGATCCTTGTCTTTATCCACTTTAGAAGATCCCTGTTTCCCATTTGAACTACAAGAAAGACGCTCATCTTCCTCACTGAGGGTTTCTAAGAAAAGTGGTAATGATATTTCCCTTGAAATAGCAAACTGCTGACGTCTTGAATCAAGTTGATTTTGATCGCTAACTTCATGGGGGCTTGCTGTTTGAGATAACGACTCTTTCTGCTGCCAGGAATGGTAGTGTTCCGGTAGACTGACATTAGAGAGGTCTTTCTTGGGCAGCAGCCAGGGAACTTGACCAGTGATCTGACCACTGTATACTGAACCTATAGTTGCTGCTCTTCTAAACTTTGATCTACGCTTAACAAGGCTCTGCCTGTCCAAATGATGCAAACTACTATCTGGTGTATTTCGCCACAAAGGCGTGCTATGTCCTGTTCCAAAAGAAGGAATTCTTCTTCTGTGATAGTAAGATGGATCCTCTTCATACCTTTCATCTATCAGTTGTGCCA